CAAGAAGTTGTTTATCCTTTGGGGATCACGGATCCTTTTGAGACCATGATTAAAAGTAAAAGATCTGCTTTCCAGAAAAAATAAAATAAGCAAACAAAAAACAATTATATTCACAAAAAAACCCAACATACAATTTCAAGGCTTTTTCAGACTCTCTGTTCCCCCTATGTTAATCCCTCTCTTGAATATAAAATACTGTCTTTCTTTCTTTTATTTACTTGGTACAGGGTCTTACTACACAGCTCGGATGTATAGTGATGCTTTTTTATTTAGATCGAGGAGATTCAAGGCATGGTGCCAACATCTGCTGGGGGCTGGTGAGGGTTTTGTGGTGGATGGTATAACAATGGTTGGGAGTGTGTTTGACAATGCCAAGTAGCAGAGGTGGAAAAGGGATTCAGGGCAGGGTCAGCCTCACTTATGACAAGCCATGTTTAGGGGACTTCCTGTGAGATCAGAATACATTCCCTTCAGAAAAGCATCAGTCTCTCTTAAGACCTAATTAGCTCTGGCTGCAATCCAGTTATTGAAGGTTCCTCCACCTCCACCTCACCACAGTAGCGCACAGGTACAGCATCCATCTCAGTGGAATAAACTACAGCAGCCCCACCCACTGCATATATGATTTTTTTTTTTTTTTCTCCTTGAATGCCTCCAGGGCACTTTTGCATGGCTGGAGTGTTGTGGGGATCGAACTACAGCAAACTGAGGCTGCCAGCATTGTGGAAGCAGCCACTTAAAGAACTGAGCTAGGGCTGGGCCCTCTGCATGTATGATTTCTTACAATACTTCATGTAAGATTTTTTACAACACTTCACCAAACAAGTTCATACGCCAGCTCTTGTATCAAGTGCCTTTTCTTTTAAACCACTATTCAGCGACCATCCACCCCATACTGGCAATATAGCAGATACCAGAGATAGAAAAAGAAATGGCCCTGACTGCAGGAATACAGTATCTTGGGGAAAGACAGAAATTAAAAACTATTTACAACAGGGCCGGGGAGATGGCTCAGTAGAATAAGCACTTCCCTGGCAAGTGCAAGGGCCTAAATTCAATTCCCAGTTCCGCAAAAAAAAAAAAAAAAAAAAAAAAACCTATTTACAACAAAACATGGGCAGAAAAAAATAGCATTCATTAGGAGAAATTGAGGTACAAATTAAAGATTAGTAAACTTCTCTTCATCAAGAGATTATAAAGGATGAATAAGCATTCCGAATAATATTACAGGTAGAGGAAATAATAGCACCAAAGGGGAAAAGGCTGATATATCCTGGTGTGTACAGGAAGTTATACAACAGTTTAATATAGTCAGATTAGAATGGTAATGAACGTGGAGAAGAGCTGAGACTTCCTTATTTGGAGCAGAGATTAAAAAGACAATGTTGCCAAATATAATTTTAGCAGTTGGTCTGACAACACAAAGGAAATCTCAGATTTCCTCCCAAAAACTTCCTTTATGACCCAAAGCTGCTTTTAGTATATACAAAGAACCATTTTGCCTGTTTTTTTTTTTCTTCAACTCCCTGGCATGTGGTGTGCAATTCAGGATATAAGATTTAAAACCTATACAATCAAGTGACACATTTTCGATTGCACCTTGTCCATGGGTTTCATTTTGTAAGCAGTACTCACTTGGAAAACATCTTGTTCTGCTGGGGATGTGGCTCAGTGGTAGAGATTTTCCTTGGATGTACATTTTGTTGTTTTTAACTTAGCTCATTTTAAAAATATAACTAAGATGGGGCAGGGAGATGGCTCAGCAACACAGGGTCTGCCTGGCAAGTGCAAGGTTGTGAGTTTAATTCCCAGTATCAATATATATATTGATCAATTTTTTAAAAATACATTAGGTACAGGGTCCCACTATGCACTTCAAACTCATAGTGATCCTCCTGTTTTCAGCCTCCCAAGCACTGGGATTACAGGCATGCGCCACCACACCCAGACTCTTGACTGACTAATTTGATGTCACTGATTTAGCTATAATAGAGCATGTGTAATGTGATACATGTTTATATAGAAAATTAATGTAACCAATTTTGACAGTACAGTGTAGTAAATGTCTCTACTTGCAGCAAAAGTATGAAAGGAATGCTTATGATAATTTTAACAACATTTTTTCACGATATATATATACATATACATTTATTTTTTTGTGTATGCATGTACTTTCTCTTGAAATTTTAATTTGTTTGATTTCTATCACAATTAATTCTGTTCCCTTAGGATAATACTCAATTCACATACATCACAGAACCGCAAGTGTATACATATAAGGTATCACTATAAAGTTATATAGTATATTTTTTGTGTGACAAGAAAAAAAAACCCAAATTTTAAAATTTAAATACCAATCAACTTAAGTTGAATGAATCAATTCAAGCTTATAAAACTATCAGCACAAAGAAATGCTTGACTTATTTTTTTTCTTTTTTTCCAAACTCTTCGAGCCTGTAGCTGATGTTCCATTAAATATTGCATGGCTTTATCAAAATAAAGGATATTCAAGCACACCTTTTTTGTTTTGTTTTGTTTGTAGCACCAAGGATTGAACTTGGGACCTTGTGTTTGCCAGGCAGGCACTTATGCCACTGAGCTACATCCCCAGCCCTTCAAGTACACCTTTAAAAATAAAGAATATGTACTCTCACAATGGTTTATCTACCAAACACATAGAACTTGATTCACTTTCAGATTTATACTAAAGAAAGGAATACTTACATGTGTGAAAAATAAATCCAAAGAAAATAATTTTTCTCTACAAAATTTTCATTGAAACCCCAATGGACTTCATAGGGGACTGGCAAAAGCATCAAGAAGCTTAGAGGTTAATAATTCCTTTTTTAATCTTTTATTTATTTGGTACAGGGTTTCACTACGCAGCTCAGACTCATAGTGATCCTTCTGTCTCAGTCTCCTCAGAGCTGGGATTACAGGCGTGCACCACCATGCCCCATTTCGGTGGCTGGCACGGTGCGCCCAGGGTTCCAGGGCCCGCATGGCATGTACCGGGGATCAAACCTGGGTCCTTGTGCTTGCCAGGCAGGCGTTTAGATCACTGAGCTATCTCTCCAGCCCAGGTTAATGATTTCTTGTGGGAATTTTGTTTGTTTGAAGAGAGGGAATATTCTTCAAGTGAAATTTTTCCCCATGTGAGAAACATTCTTTAAATTAAAAGTACATGGTTAATACATAAAGAGTTCAAAGCCCTTCATGAAATGAGTTCATAATAATTGATCTTTAGTATAAGTATATATCTATATAGACATAAAGATTTCTAACAATTTTAGCCACATAAGAAAGTAAAACAACAAATCTACAATAGGTACAAATTATATACATTTATTAATAATTTTAAATAACACTCTTGTATAAATTCTTCCATATATTCAAATCATACACAAATTTAGAAATGTATCATGAAGCCTAGTACAGCATATGTATGAGACATGTTTTTAATATTTGTGTTAGAATTTTAGTGACATAAATACAAGTTAAACATTTCAGAAATATGCTCTAATTGCTTGGGCTGAAATTTAACTTCTTACAGAGTGCTTGGGCCTACCATTGACACTTCACTCAAATCAGTTAGCTTTTGGACTAGGTTAACTCTGAAGCCCTGGGCTCCCATTCTGCAGCCGCGGATGTAGTTATTGCACGTGTGTAAGTCATAAGCTTCTCAGTTGCCTTGGAAAAAACATTCAACCACTGAAGCTCTAATGGTGTGTAACCTTTAATCCATTTGATACTATACGACCTCTCCAGATGAATCAGTGTGTTCTTCCTGCTTTCCCCATCTTAATCACTGACTCGGGATAAAGAGAAAAATGAATTAAGCTTCCATTACCCTCCCATATGTATGCCAAGCCTGTTTTAACTCCCAAATTCGTATCAAGAAGGTCATAACAGATCAAAGGTTCTTCATGACTAAGATCAGAAATCATTTCCTTGCTCTAACAAGTTATACTGTGTTATTTCTTTTCTTCTCTGAGCATTCTGTCAGAGGTTTTATTAAGATGCAGAAATTCAATTCCTACTCATAGACCTCAAAATATAGGAAGCAGGGAAAATTCAGTATAAGTGGTATTATGTTCATTGGGTGTCTTACAAAAAGAATGGGACCAGTGGGAGATGATCTGATAACCCAATTTCAGTTAAGCCTGTCAAAGGAAGTACCACTGCTTATGCTGTCTGCTTCCACAACAACACAAGAAAGGCTAGTGTCTGAAAGGCACTCAGCTGACAAAACTAAACTAGTAGGTCAGTGAGTATTGTTTTAATGGTCATTTACCCTGGGAAAGCGGAGACATACACAAATGCTGTAAAAAATCTTTCTTTCCCATTCCATGTCTGCTCTGATCTCCTCTCTTAATATCCAGGTATCCCTGGAGAAAATTAAACACCAGGTCCACAGGAGTTTTTTTATTTTTTTCCTCTAAAGTTGGAGAAATTCCATTAATAACAAAGCCCAAGAGGTAGAGTGGAGAAATGGAGGAAGAGTTAAGGGGCACAAGGATGTACTGAACAACACTTCCTAAAGCATCTAACTATCAGAAATGCCTAAGGGCTTAGGAAAACAAGTTAATAAAGATAAAAGTATTAATTAATAGTACTGTGTTTTATTTCTCAATAATATTCACATTGGCCTTATTTTAAAAACAGCACATTCTAATCCCTAGACAGAAATTCTTCTAATACTAGGATTTCTAAATGACTGATAGGACCCTGTGGCTGGACATCATAGCTCATGGGGACTTTGTAAGTGAATATTGGGTTTTCCATAGCAGTTTTCCAGTCTGATTTCAGGGTGCATGAATTCATCATTCGTTTCTATTTTAGAGCAAGAAAATTTCCACAAGCAAAAGTCCAAGTCATTCAAGAATATTACTCAAAACAAATTTTACTTTAGTTTTTCTTTCATTATAAAAAATTAAGACCGGGCCAGGGAGATAGCTCAGTAGAATCAGTGCTTGCCTGATAAATGCAAGGGCCTGAGTTCAATCCCTGGTTCTGCCAAAAACCCCCTTCCCTCAAAAAAGAAACAATGCTATACAAAAAAAATAAGACCATGACCTAGGAGCTGTTAAATAGTATGGAAAGGTAAATGGTCTCTGTAGTTCAATTTTTGCAATTTCTTCAAAGGTCTATTACAAAGAATCTCTATATGGCCAGAATGCTATTTAACTGGCTCTTAGACTCCAATACTCTCTCTTTGTTGGGTTAACTTCTGTTTAACGAAATTACACTCCTCACCAGCCTCAATTTGATCCTGATTTTTTCAGGGAATAGGGTATCAGGAAGAAAGGCAAGTACGCCACCTTTGCATAATCCCTTGGAATTTTGCAGAAAGTTTTCCCTCCTAAAGAAATTACTTTACTATAAAGAAACACAAATTAGCAGCTTTGTTTTCTTATCATGAATTCTGCTTTCAGAAACTAAGCCTCCTGTGTTCTAAACTAGACTTTTTGCTCCACAAAGTTCTACATAGCTGTGTGGCCCTGAATTGTACTTTGTAGTTACAAAAACTCAGAAAGATCCACAGATGGGCCTATTCCTCCTAGCCTGTTTGTACCTGCATCTAAGCAAACTTTGAAATAGGTGTATTGTTAAAAGGACACGTGGTACAGAGTTCAGAGTCCTGATTCTGAGCCTAGAAAGACTCACACTGTGCTGCTTTGAACAAGCTATTTGGTTCCTCTGTGCCTGTCTTCTCATCTATAAAATGGGTACAGCAAGTCCTTCCCCAGGGGCTTACAAGAAACAAAGAACATACATATTGAAAAGTGATTTGTAAGCTACAACAGGTGGTAGAGATGCTAGTATATTTCAATATAACATAATGCCTATGCTTGTGTACAATTGCCAAGGACCCTCACAGTACCAGAGGCCAATTATCTTCCCACATATTTTCTAAAACAGCATGCAAACCCTGAGCGCAACTTATGGGATCTCCTATAGAGGGTGACAAATTTTAGGTTTTTCTCTGAGGAAGTTAGACCAAATGGTCAACTAACATTTCTAGGTCTAATCCGGGAAGTTTTCACTTTTTTCGAACCAATTCACAGTTTTCTGTTCCTCCTAATAAATAATCTATATTTGACTTCTTGCCACCTTTCATGGCTTGCTTAATCCACAATTCTGCCAATGTAATAGATAAGAACAAGATTTTGGAGGGGGAGGAATTGAACGTAAAGAGGACTAACTATATTTCCTTAACTACAGAGCAATGCTATAGCGAGAAAGAAGAAAACAGAAGAGCTATAGCACTGCAGAGAGATGGAAAAGATCTCATGGCAAATGAGTGACAGGCTATGTTCAAATGTAGGAGGTTTTCTGTTTGGGAGTGGAGGTGAGAAAGCTATAAACATTTCACAGGAATTAAAACTAGAGATCCCAACGGTATGATGGCTTTTCTTTTGGAGCTCAAAGATTCCTATCCTTTGGAAGACTATCTTTTACATTCAAGAAAAAATATTTTAGTGAGGATGTTTTTTATTAATCTATGTAAAATATAGAGAGTGGCCCATATCTAATTAGGTGAGTATTTTGCAGAGTATTTTGCAGAACACAGTCTGTCCCAGCTTAACAATTACTGACTTCAAAATCTATTGCTTGAATCTACAGTAAATCAAAGAGCACATAATTATATTTTTACATTGAGAAAGGAAAGGATTAGAAATATTCAACCACTTATAAATTTTAACAGTGTCCAAGGAGGGACTAAAAATGATGGGTGCTCACCAGAGTCCCAGCTCTAGCAATATTGCCATCTGTTTTACAGTATTTTAACCAATCTCCATATTTTCTTTTTACAACACCATTAACTGCTGTACAAATAAATTCTAGATGATAAAATATGACATGTGTTTTTACAAATAGATACAAATACAATGTTGACCAGATATGCTACATTAACTCTGTACACCTTATCTCTTTAGAGGCAAGAATGCTTCTTATGTTTAGACAATTTATCATCTACACTGAGCCCCTGAGGAGGACCTTCACCTTCCTGCACCCCAAGGCTGCCTGCTGCTCTCTGCTGTGAGTGCAACCTGTGCTTTAATGTCATCGCCGAGCAAGAGTTATAGGAGGAAAGATCAGGCCTTCTAAAGATCATCTTGGGACTGCTCTGTCCTTATTCCAGAAACCATTAAGATCGTTCATTATGCTGCAGCCTAGATGTTAGCTTGTCCTCAAGGATGTGCACACTTTAGTATAGTAAAATGAATATAATCACTGACCCTCCTTCAAAAAAGAATGCATTTTTGGGAGTGGAGATGAAGTTTTCCAGCAGTCCTTTCCCCTCCATGTCCATCATCCCGGCACCACCGGTGAGGTGAACACCCCCCAACAGTCTATTTGGAGGCCAAAGTGGATTTGGGCAGCACTATGGGGTTCAGCCTTTCCATACTCCATATTTGTGGTTTGGTACAAAAATATACTTTACTTCAAGTCCTTAATAACAGTGAATACGTCTGCTCTTCATGAGAAAACTAAGAGCAATAGATAGGATAAGCACATTACAAATTTGTACCTGACAATTTCAGATGCACTATTTTTGCCTTTCCTTTCTCAGCAAACTCTACCCAGGCTTTGTCTGGCCCAGGGGCCAAAGCTGTCTCAGGAAGCACTGTGGTTTAACAATCCAGGAGAACAGTGCTAGCTTCTTAGGCTTTGTAGTTATGTATGGGTGTCGTCAGGGTCAGTTGCCCGTTGGGAGCCACTTCATTACCATCGTCTTCCAACAATCCTGACACATCAGCATTGGGAATGCTGTCGTGGTAGCTGCTGAAACTGATATTGTCTTCTTTTAGCTCGATGGTCCAAAAAGGGGCATTGAGTTTCCGGTTTTGATATTCACGGTACATATAGACAGCTCCCACAAATCCCATTAACAGTACAACCACAATGATAATGACTGTCAAAATGATGATGTTAAACTGAGTCCATGATACATCAGCTAAGGCTGACGTGCTGTTTTCAGAAGAGCTTACTGAAAAGATAGTCTGCAGGGCTGTGGGGGCAAATGTACTATTTACAACAGGGGTGGGCACTGATGTGGTCAAAGAGGCATTGGAAACCAAAATGGTAGAACCTTCAGGTGTTGGAACAATAACTTCTGAAAATAAAAACAGAGAATGAAATGTAAAAGACAAAATTATCTAGTTTTGAGAAACAAAGAAATACACATGGGAGTGGAAGTTGATATGGGATGCTGACATGGTACTCTGCTTTAAGATAAGGCAAATTAAAAAATAATTTTTAAAATATAGTGATATGTTCACCAATACATATATCTATATTAAAATCTTTGAGAAAATTCCATTGTTGTAGTTTTCCATCCTCTTCCCCTCATAGAGTCATAAGAACTCCTAAATGTGTCACTATTAAGTTCTTAATCACATGTTTGAAAGTGACAGGGATAGACGGAAATCATTTGATTTGGTTTTTGTTTTTTGCGGAACTGGGGATTGAACTCAGGCCCTTGCGCTTGCCAGGGAAGCGCTTGTTCCACTGAGCCATCTCCCCGGCCCAACGGAAATCATTTGAACTAAAATAAGTCTAACATGTCATTTCATAGCGGGAAAATCTTCAAAAGAGGTATAGAGAAAACCGTATCCTTAGCTTATCTGAAAAATATACTTTAAAGCCTCAAAGTTGATGTCAGCCAAGAGAAAAAAGTTTTCCTTTAATTATGCATGTCATAATTCTTCTTTTATATGGATTATAGCTATTTTATAATTAAATTCTATACTTTGTGCTTCCAGTGATGGCATAGCTCAGTAGAATGACCAAAGGCTTGGGACTCACAACTGTGTTGCTATCAATAAGTCAATCTTTCTCAAACTCAGGTTCTTCATCTGCTAAATGAGAATAATAATGTCTATTTTGCAGAATTCTCAAGAAGAATTCAACGTAATGCACTGTTCAGCACTATCACAGCTCAATATTATAATGCCTGGCGTGTAGTAGGCATTCAGTGAAATTATTATTCACCACCACAGTCAGCCTAATCAATTCCTTCTACAGAGAGGCAAAGTTCGCATTACCTAATAACTAACAAAACCCATCATAGTTCTGTCAAGGGACAAGGTGTGCGTTGGTATGGATAAGACATGCCTCCCAAACAAGAAAAATAATTGAGGGGCACGACTGCACTAGTGATAGGGTTCAATCTGAGTCTCTTAGCCTTGATCACAACAATACAAGGATACCAAGAAAATGGCAGAAAGATGGCACCTGCCATGGACAAAGAGGCATTTAATATCAGCCTAATATTCAGCATCTGTTAGCATATCAAAAAGTAGTTTGCAAAAGAGTATGGTCCAATCCTTCTGTAACCTAATGATTTCTGAATATATATACAGAACTCATCCTGAATCATTAACTTTTTATAAATCCCTACTGAACTTCCCTATAAGAAATACTTTGAATAATTCTTCCTTTTAAATATCAAAAAGAATATTAACATTATTTTTGCCATCAGCGACGGAACAACTTAATCCCTAAGTCAAGAAAGATGCTGGAATAAACTCCATTTTTCAGTTGGAATTTCAAACCAGTTGTTAGGACCCTCCTTGAAAAGGCCTCTGATGATCACTGGAAGTGATGAGAATAAAAGAAGAAGAAGGTAAAAGAAATGACAGGACTTTTTAGTTATTAACATAAAAATAAAAATAGATGAAGGGAAAATTCGAGAACACTTAGTCTCATTGTTGTAATGACTTTGTCTTGATCCTCAGATTTCTGGAGTTGAGTTTGGAGTATCAGGAGACAAGCAGAAAGGAAACAAAACCTCTGTAGCCAAATATCTATCAAATTCTATTTCCAGAAACTCCTTTGCTGGTATTGGAAGATTTTTACAAAGCTAAAAGTGGCCATCCTGAAATATGTCAGTGCTAGGCTTAGATATTAACTTTACAACCATAGGTGAAATTTTACCTTTCTTGATGCAATTTTTCTTGAGGTCTTGGACATAACCTTCTAGGCAGTTCTCACACCAAAACCCAGTGGTGTTGTGGAGGCAACTGATGCACTCACCACTCTCAGGCTTACAAATCTTTGGAGTTTTAATTGGGTCCACATGGCCATGACATTGGCATGGGATACAGATGCTGTCAGAGTTGTAATAGCCATTTTCACACGTATTGCAGTTCTTGCCTGTATAACCAACTTTACACTGGACACATTTAGGTTCCGATTCATCCATTTCTAAAAGGGAAAGAACATCAAAATAATTCCATAAACTCAAACTACAACAAAAAAAGGAAAAAAAAAACCCAATTATTAGTTCCCAAATAGATTCATTATCCCTCCCTGCTATCTCTTCTTAATAGTAAGAGACATAAGGAAACAAACAAATATGTCCTTTATTTCCCAGCTTACTGTAGGAATGACAAAGCCAACCAGACAACCTATTCAACCTATTCAGGTAGAATATAAAATAAAAACATGCTTCCAATAGTAACACAATAATTGCGATTGGGTTACTAACACTGTGATTGGTGTTCTTGTAGTTTCTTTATTCCTTCCTTTTGGCCCATGACAGTCTGCATAAAATATGTCTTAACAAAACCTTCCTCTCTCCCTTCCCAGAATAAATGTTGATAATCCCAGATGTCTGTCCTCAGTCTCCTTCACTTCTCACTCTACTCATTCTCCGTGAGTGAGCGCATCCACTGTCATGGTGGACAATTCCCAAATGCATATCTCCAGTCCATTTCTCTGTCTTTAATTCCAAACTGCATACAAACTCCTATGCACATGATCCACCAGAATCTCAGATCTACTATGAATGGATGTCCTCCACATGCTCCCTTCCTAAGTCCTATCCTCCTCCAGTGTTCCACTCATCTAAACATCTGCCTACTTGCCTGAGCCAAGCATCTAAGAACTATCTCCCAATCTTCCCCTCCCTTCCCCTCCTGCATACAGTTACCAGTTCATATCACTGTTCATATTAATCAGACCTTGTTAAATTCTTTGCAACCTTCTGGTGCCTCTCTCCATGCCCATGGCAGTGGCCTTAGTTTAGGCTGCCATCATGTCTCACCTACATTACTGTAGCTACCTCCTAATGAGGCTCTTTGTCACAATGAACCCCTCCATTCACTATGATCTGCAGAGTAAATCTGAGCATATTATTTCTCTAGAGAAAGCTCTTCAGTCCCAGTTCCTTCAGGATTAAGTGAAAATGCAATAGAATTTTCACTGTCTTTCATAACTTGGCTCTTTCATATTTCTCCCAGCTCACTTCGTGTTCCACAACATTCTTTGATTGAAGCTTATTGAAATGTTTGTGAGTACTCTAAGAGACTGCCCGCTCTCTCCTCTTTGAGCTTTTGTATATACTGCTTCCTCTACATAGAACGTCTTCTTCATTCCCTGCTTTTACTGTACCTCCCAAATTCCAACTGCAGGAATTCACTCAGGTACCACCTTTTCTTAGGATCTTAAAAGGTTGTGCTCAATTCCCTCAGTTTGGGTTAGGGCTAGTTTATGTTTATGTGTAACATGCATCATTCTAATTTGTTATTGTCTGACTACTTGTCTGTCTCTTCCATTAAACTATGAGCTATTTATTTTCCATCTTTATCTCTAATGCTTGACACAGTGCTGAACACACAGTGATTGTTGAATTTATGACTTGACCACAAGTAGAGAGGAGGCATACCAACTCATATCTATGAGCTTCTTGTTTAAGCCATCATGCAATTCTAATTCAATATTCTCAGATCTACTTGATGAATGATCTTTAAATAATCAACAAATCAGGGCTAGGGAGATAGCTCAGTAGAATAAGTGCCTGCCTGGCAAGCAAAGGGTTCTGAGTTCAATTCCTGGTACCACAAAAAAAAAAAAATCATAAGTTTGTTTATCTGTCAAATTTATGTGTTCCTTTCTTAGAATACATTAATTACACTGACAGAATCATGCTGATATCTAAATAACAGTCATTTTATTACAGAAGAATTAATCTGTACTGATCATGAAATCTGTGGCAATTCGTTACATCTCTGATGTGCTTTATGAAACATGAATTCTTCTTGTTTATTTTACTATTTTTTAAGAACAGTTTTGATGTATAACATACTATAAACAGTTAAACTACTTGAGTATAGAACTCAATTTTTAAAGTACATTCAGAGTTGCACAACTCATAAAGCATTTCAGTTTACAATTTCCAATCCCAGTAGGCAGTGTAATGTCAGCTTACTAAACTGTGCCCCTGCAGTATTCCATATTTCAAATAGAACTCTTAAGTTGATTTTAGCCACAAAATGTGAAAGTTGAATGAATTTATAACTTTATAACTCCTGAAGGCAATGATATACAGAAAAATACTGACTGAAATGCATATATACTTCTGGTTCTTAAGGAACTCATAGTTCACAAAGATGCTACATTTTACATTACAGCATTTTTGTACTTCGACAACAAAGTTACAGTAACTAATACCAAAAAATCCTGATGGAATAGATTGACAAACCTTTCTTGTCTGTCAAGTCAGACTAACTGGGCCTCATAACAATGAGATTTAAAAGCCCTAACTTGTGTCATTTCTTCTCCTTGTTTGCTGGGTTGTTTGTTTTTTTGAAACAGGGTCTCATTATGTACTTCAGAATGGCCTTGAACTTGATGGAAAAGAGATGATTGCTAATGGTTACAGTGTGTGTTTTGCTTTTGGCTTTGAAGGTTTTTTGATGGAAGAAGGTGATTAAAATGTTTTAACACTGATCGCGGTAAAGGTTGCACAATGCTGAGTACATACTAAGCCACTTCGCTGTACATTTTATATAAATTATATACAATCTGAATTATATCTTAAGAAATATGCTATTTAAAATAGAATGGGGGGGCTAGGTGTGGTGTTGTTCACTTGCAATCCCAGCACTCGGGAAGCTGAGGCAGGAAGATCATAGTGAATACGAGGCCAGCCTGGGCTACAAAGTGAGTTCAAGGCCAGCCTAAGCTGCATAGGGAAACTCATCTCAAAATGAAAAAAAAAAAAAAAAAAAAAGGAATGGAATAGAATGGAATGGAATGGAGTAAAAGAAGAATCCAACCAGGACTGTTCAGCTAAACTTTCCCCAAATTTCTAGCAGAAAATGTGAAATTATAAATACTTATTGTTTTAGTCATTAAATAGTAAGGCAATTAATTCGTTGTGAACAATAGACATGTAGTATGCCAGGGATAGATAGCAGTTGACTGTCTTTGTAGGATTCCTACATAGACACAACCGTTCAGCGCTATTAAGTACCACGCAGGAACTAATTAGCAGCTGCTACCCTGAACTGAATGAGCAAAGGAGCTCAGACCTGAAGTTCCTGTAGATATCTGGAGACTCATTTCACATATCTGGATTAGCATGTTGTAAATTCCTAGAAAGAAAAACTGTTTCTGTTTGTACAAGTCTCATTTACAGCACTCAGCTTTTGATTCAGCAACGCAATTTCTAACAGCTGTTGAAGGATTCGCTGGTTCAATGCCGAAATGAAGACTTAGAGAATGCCTTTACCTATGACACAATTGCCTGTAGATGTCACTGCTGAACAAGGACAGCGAAGACATCCTTGATCAGCATAAGGACTCTGATAAAATCCGTCTTTGCATTCTTCACAGTGATCCCCTTTGCTATTTTCCTGGCAGTTTAAACAGACACCTAAAAAATAAAACAAGCAAATTATTTTTTAAATTTAAGGCTTATTCTGAATGCACAGCAACTTTCAAACATCATGGCTGCAATACAAAGACCATAGGAGTTAATCAGAAAAAGAAAACATCTTAGGAACGGGGTGGAATTCAGTTCCTACCCACCTTGTTTCTACCCTAGCATGTCTATGTGTTCAGTGTCCTCTCGTAAGTTGGTAAGGGAAGGGCTGGGCACCTGGTTAGTCACGGTGTGCATCTTTTGGCCAAATGGCTACATATTAAAAGCATGTCAAATACGAGCAAAAAAAAAAAATTGAAGTAGTCTAAATATCTATTAATAGAAGAATAGATAAATTGTGGCATTTTCCTGTTAAATATGTGAGCTAAACCTATGTCCACAAACATTTGTACATCTTAAAAGCAACATGAGGGCTGGCCAGATAGTTCAGTAGGTTAGAATGCCTTGCTTAGGCAGACAGACGCAGGGACTGGGTTTGATTTCCAACGTGCAGTGCCGGCCCTGCCCCCGGGGAGACAGCGATTGAGACTGGGTGTGGTGGTGCCTGCCTGTAATCCCAGCGCCTGGGAGGCTGAAAGACAGGAGGATCACTACTAGTCTGATCTGTGTAGTGGCTGTACAACCTGTACTAAATACATTAAAAGGGGGGGGGGCTGAAAAGGCAAATTGCAGAATGACACATACTGAAGAATAATACTTACTTGTAAAATTTTAAAACTGCACAAAGCAATACTAAGCCAAAGGATACATAATACACAAAACCAAATTGCTACATACACAGAGGGGTTATCAAAGTATACAGTAAATATTTAAATTTTTAACAATTTATTACAGCAAAAGACACAGCACCATTTATCCTTCTCAAAGTACCCTTCCTCACTTTGAACACTTGTCCCATCATTCTTGTCACTTACTGAGGCAGTTCTGTAAGTCCTCTTTTATGAATATCTTTACAAGGTGTGGTCAGAAACGTGGTTTCTGACTGTTGCTATCAAGTATATCCAATGGAAAAGTAGGCTCATAGAAACATTATGGTCTGCTTTTATCTACCTTATTCACCAGATTTGCCTTCTGTCTCTTCCCCAAATGATCAAAATGATCATTAAAGTGTGGTGGATTAACAACTGATGGTCAACTTGTGACACCAAGCAGAACTGAAGCAGCATGGTGTTGGGTGTGGAAGGCCGGCCTGAGGACTGGTGCTAGCAGCATAAGTGGCAGAACTGGAGAAGAAGTTTAGAAGCTACATGGGAGATGCTAGGGAAGCTGTTGGAAGGTTGTAAGGAGGCTGTCGGGAGCTGTTGGTTCTCCTGGAGGAGCTTATCGTGCTGGCTTTCCTGGTGAACTCAGCTGTTCTCATTGTTAAAGGAGCTCAGGACCTCACTGTCACGAGGATGGTTATAGTTCACTTTGGGGGAGCTCTGAGGCTTACTTTGAGCATCAATTCCTGGCTCCAGAGGGGAAGATGGTACACAGCTCAGTCTCCTGAAGAAACTTGTCGCGTGGGCTTTCCTGATGGGATCTCAGCTGTTCTCGTCATCAACAGCTTGGGATCTCACTGTTGCTGAGGATGGCTATGGTACTTTTTGAGGGAGCTCTGGCCTTTACTGTGAGTATCGCTTCCTAGCTCCAGTCCAGATCCCTCCGCCTGCTAACACAGATCCTTCATTCTACTGGCACAGCTTTTCTAGCATCCACCAATGACCTTTGGGCACTCACAGTGCAGATCCTTGGAACAGGCCAGTATGAGATCTTGTCATGGACTCTCAGGCTCCAGCTGGACTTGTGAGGGGCTTTGTCATGAACTCCAGGTCTTCAGCTGAATTCATGCAGGACATTACAATTGAATCCAGACCCTCAGCTGGACTCTTTGGTCTTAGTGGGTGGGCAGATTTCCTGCACTTTCTTTGTATATGACATTTTGGGTGACTATAATAAAATAATTAATAAAATATCTGTATTGTATTGGTCCCCTTGCAACGCCCCAAACTACAATACAATAGAAGGTAAAAGTTTTGAATGATTTCAGGGCATCAAGGCAACCACAATGTCACAACTAAAAGTACTCATGAAAGAGTACTTTCAGAACTGCTTCAGATAGTGGGAAGCATAATGGGACATCTGTGTTTGAAGCAATGAGGAATAGTTCATGGGAGATTAATGTCAATGTGGATTTTAACGTAATAAATCTTTAGTATTCAATATCCACTATATTTTTTCTATCACACCTTCATATAGTAAAGATATAAGCGTGGACTGAGAG